TTTATCAGTTCCTATATTTTAATGGTAAACAGATTATATTAACTTCTTGTATGAGTTTATCTATAGCTAGTGGCTCAGAATTTTTATCCAGTAAGTTATTGATAAGTATACAGACAAACAGACATTCTAGAATCTATGTCTATTACATTTTTTTCATCCTGTTAAATATTCATTCATATTTTATTTCCCAGATGCTCAGGTTTAATGTGTCTAGTCAGTTATAAATGTACCTTGGCCTTAATAAATACCCTTTCAATTGAATTTTCCAAGCATTTGAAAGACTGCAAAGCCCCAGAGACTTCATTTCTTACATGAACTAAATTGCATTGCCTTTGTTAAATGTACCAGCCTCAGCTTGCTAATTATAAACATTGATTTAATGTGGTATGGTTTGGATATTTCCTGTTAGCTCTTTCACAGCATATCATGCTTCTTTCAAATGACACAGAGTTTTAGAATTCACGTTGAATTCACTTACTTTTTAATTTAAATTACTAAGTGGTTGATATTGTAGGGATATAAAATTTACACTTGCTATGAGATATACAACATTTAAAGATGAGTTAAATTCTACTTTACAAAGTCCGTATTATTTTCACCATTTACATAAAATCAGATGTAATACCATTTTTTTCCTATTTTAAGTTAATTAAGAAGGTATATGAACCTTTAAAGGTGCACTGTAATTAAGCAGTTAAAATATATAATAACATAACATAAGTTTGCTAAGCACAGACATCCAAAGGTAGCCCATTAGCATAGCTAATGGAAAGAATAAACTATTAGCTATGCTTTGAAATACAGTTTGTAAACGACAAAAGGACTTTCAGTAGAGTTTTTAAACATCCAATGTTCCTTATAATGAAATTAAAAACACTTATAAGATGCTTTTCCCACTATTTGGCAAATGTTTGTAATGGCAAATGTTAGCTATCTGGTGCTTTTTATTTTTGCAAAAGATATGTGAAAACGAAGTCTAGTTCTTTCATTTATAAATCTTCAAAATTAATGTTAGTGTATGTAACAAAGAAACTGATGTGAGGACCCTCATTTGCACTTGCAACTAAAGTAGAGTGACGAGTTCTGTGCAGTATGCTTGTGTCTAGTGCTGTATGTAGTTTTATGTGACTATTGTTTCAATGTGAGAAAATAGTGTTAATTTATGACAAGGGTTGTTCTCAATGGAATGGATACAGGTCTTTAAAGTTTAGCTACAACTAGTGTATATCTGATTCAAAAGTACTGTTCATGGGGCCCACCTTCCCCTCTACACCATCTTGGTTTTAGTGAGTAGCTGTGTGTGTTCATTTTTACAGCTCAAAGACCATGACATTTATCTTGTCCCCTATACAGCTTGTGCTTGAAGACTGAGCATCTCTGTCATGATGATGTCTTAAGAGGACTTAAGCAGACATTCTGGCGGGCTGTCTCAGACAGGCTTTGATTCAGGCTTCTGTACTGATGTTAGACAAGGTAAATTTTACATTGTGAAGAACTTGGTTCTTCACAGCTAAGAACCTTATAGTGCATGTTAATTTTTGCAAGGCTCCTAACAGACCAAAGGAAAGTACAGAGAAAGAGAGAGAGAGAGAGAGAGAGAGAGAGAGAGAGAGTCTAGAGGTTTTAATTTTTAACATCCACAATTTAATTTAAAACTAACTCACTAATGCTTTTCTCTCTTTAATAATAAAAACCATATCAATACATAAATATCTTTTCTATTCATTTTGACATATGCTGTGTTTATTTTGCGGTCACAATCGATCCTAGCAGCACAATTAGGGATAGAAAGCATGTCAAAAATTATCCCAAAAAGTAGAAAAAGGGTGTAAGTTTTAGTCACACAAGTGTATTTCTGTTTATTATGTATTTCACTGAACAAGTGTGTTACCTATGCAATTATAGATGCTTGTGAGCTGCCAGGTAGGTTCTGGAAATTGAACGTGGCTCCTTTGCAAGAACAACACCTGCTCTTAACCACTGAGCCATCTCTCCAGCCCCTCCTATGCCATTATAAACAAATAATTTGATATTAAAAATTATCATTAGTCTGGTACAGGGGCTTGGGCCCTTTAAAAATTGTTTTATTTATTACAATTTATTCACTTTGTATCCCAGCTGTAGCACCCTACCTCATCCCCTCCCAATTCCACCTTCTTTCTCCCTCATCTCCTTCCATGTCCCTTCCACAGTACACTGATAGGGGAGGTCCTCCTCCCTTTCCATCTGACCTTATTTTATCAGGTCTCATCAGAACTGGCTGCAATGTCCCCCTCTGTGGCCTGGTAAGGCTGCCCTCCACCTGTCAGAGGGTGGTGATCAAAGAGCCAGTCACTGAATTCATGTCAGACATAACCCCTGTTCCCATTACTAGGGAACCCACTTGGAGACTGAGATGCCATGGCTTACATCTGTACAGGGGTTCTAAGTTATCACTATGCATGGTGGTCCTTAGTTGGAGTATCAGTCTCAAAAAGACCCCTGTGCCCAGAATTTTTGATTCTGTTGTTCTCCAGTCCCCTCCGGGGCTTTCTATCTCCCCCTTCTTTCATAAGATTCCCTACATGCTTCCCAAAGTTTGGCTTTGAGTCTCAGTGTCTGCTTTAATACCCTGATGGGTAGGGTCTTTCAGAGTCCAAATGTGGGTAGGCTTCCTATGTCGTTCCTTGTTTTCACCCTCTTCTGATGTCCATCCCATTTGTCTCTCTGAATGAGGATTGAGCATCTTACCCAGGGTCCTCCTTCTTGCTTGGCTTCTTTAAGTGTGCAGATTTTAGTATGAATATCCTATATTTTATGTCTAATATCCACTTATGAGTGAATATATACCATGTGTGTCTTTCTGTTTCTGGGATACCTCACTCAGGATGATCTTTCCTAGTTTGCATGGGCCCTTTTTCATATAATTCTTGGCAAGCATCGCTCTTACCTTGGAGAATTCCTTGCAGATTGCCTTAGACAAGTTTGATGGCTTTGTTCTTTTCATCTCTTTGCACACTACCCTTTGTATGTGTATTTTTTTATTTTCTTTTTATTTATTCTTCTCTCATAACATATATACCCACTTCAGCAGCTCCTCCACTCTCTTCACTCCTCAGCTTCCACCATTGCAGCCTCTGTGTCCATGTCCCAGCAGCAGACATAAGAGTTAGGACTCTCTCTCTCTCTCTCTCTCTCTCTCTCTCTCTCTCTCTCTCTCTCATACACACACACACACCAGACAAACAAACAAAACAAAACCAAGCTTCAACCACAGCATGTATGCAGAGGAACTAGTTCAGACTCAGTCTCTGGGAGCCCTATGAGCTCTGCTTAGCTGTATCTGTATTTCCAATTCTTAGATTTAACCCTAAGTTGCTCTCACTGTGGAACTGTCAAATTCAATAACTGAGCTCAGATAAACAAAGAAAAGGTAGAATGATGATCTCTAAGAAATGTGAATTACCCAATGAAGAATCACTTGAAAAATAGAGAATTCTTATTACAAAAAAATACTTACATTTTCTTTAATTCAAAAACACATTCCATAACAAACTATAAGCCTTATCCTTTGGTTCCTCTGGAAAATGCAAAATGCCTTCCATTAATTGGAATATTTGGTTCAAAATTTTCAAGCTACATAGCCAGGGTTCCATTTACACTGTTATGACATGCAGAGAAACGAAGAATGATAAAGCCGAGCACTCTAATAGCAAGGGCTTTATTTATTTATTTTTTAAAATATCTTGCAGCATTTTTTCTAAAATGCATATTTCATACTTCCAACTGTCAATCATATCATTAAGGATTTTACACTCATATGACAGATATGGGACAATTTGAAAACTGGCATGAAATCTTCAGTCAAGAACGACTAGCATGCTTTTTTTTTAAAATGTGAATTCAACATATATTAAAAACACAATACACAGACAAAGGAACCCTGAGCTATCTGTAGAGTGTAGTCAAAGGACCTACCAAAGACCCGCTAGTTCTCTGCTTCCACTGCCTCTCAGACTTGGAAAATAACTAACACATCTGCAGCCATTATTGTGCTAATAGAATTGTTTTCGAAACTGCTTTGTTGTCACTAGTATTTTCCAGATTTAACAAGGAGACAGCATGACACAACGCTGAAAATACTGGCTCTGGTGACATGCAGGCTTTAAATTGTGGCTCCTGGCATTTACTAATTTACTGAATGTGAGATGATAATGGTAGGCTTGGAGAGAGACAGAGACAGACAGAGACAAAGAGGTGACAGAGAGAGACAGATGAGACAGACACACAGAGAGACACATAGACAGAGAAACAGACACAGAAACAGAAAGCACACACAAATACAGAAAGACAGACAGAGACACAGAGACAGACAGACACACACTCAGAGTACGGAGACAGAGACAGACAAAGAGATTACAGAGAGAGACAGGAATGAGATAGACACAGTGACACAGACAGAGGAACACAGAAACAGAGACAAACAAGCGCGCGCGCGCACACACACGCACACACACACACACACACACACACACACACACACACACACACACAC